ATTGTTCTTTACTAAGGCGAACTCCCACCATCAATATGATCATGCTAGCATATCTCATGTGACTTTACATAGCATGCCACAATATCAACATGATGCTTATGTTCATCAAGATCTACCAAATTTAAAACATTTAAATCATCATATCAATGTTTCACAATTATATTAATATAGAAAGTGCCACTTGCATATTTTCAAAAATGAAGACAATGTATAAGTTCATATAATTATATTTATAAAGCATAATTTCAAGCAAACATCTATAATTAATTTAACAAGTAATAACATGAAATAAATTCCCTCGATTATTTCAAACCTTTGAGAACTCAAAGGTTACCCAAACACCACTTTCTTTTGAGTTAAATTCAAGCTTTCTGGTACTTTCTGATGTTAGTCTACAATTAAACACCAACACCCATCATTAATAGCTATTAAAATCATCACTTCCACCTTCTAATTTTATATTTTAATAATCAAATTTCTCAATTACAAGCTCAATCTCACATCTAATGAGATCATTAACTCCCATTAACTTTATTTGGCTCCTAACAACTTAAATAATCACTAATATTTTATCCAACAACCCAAAGTCATCATCAAAGTGACCCTAAACTCAAACTCCAAACCTTATAATAACTTATAATCTAGATATAGAAAGGTTAAACAACCCCTATTAATTTCATTTGGACTAATGAGTTCATATCCATAGCCCTAGATTAGAAAATCATGATTTTCCAACCTCTCAAATTTTATTTTCAAAACATGTAGAGAGAAGGAGAAAAGATAAGGAAGACAAATCTAGGTAAAATTAAGCTTCAATCACCTACAAAGTATCTAAAAGTTGATACCCTAGCAAAGCAAATACTCTCTCCATCGCCCTCACTCAGTTTCACATTTCTCTCTTGATATTTCAATCATTTCTCATGTTTTTTAAAAACTAATTTCTAACATTACGTTGCAGCATAAATGTATTATACTATGATGTAACGTATAGTGGGCCAAATTCTAATTATCTCCTTAATTTGAGCCCAAGTAATCCAATTCAATTTCATATTTAATCCAAAGGCTAAAGTTGAGTCTAATAGGCCTATTAGTCGTCTCTAACTATCATCACATTATTAAACACCTCATTTATACAATTAATCTTGGTTAATCCATTTAAATTGGAAATCAAAATTTAGGATGTCACACCTCATATTTTCATTTGAATCAAATTAAATTTTAATGATTTGTTATTTCATTTTAGGCATTCTTATCTTCATCCTCTTCAGCGTGGCCCATTTCATCAATTAATACAATAAATAACCCAATGAGTGACGCCATGCATGCCAGCCATAGTGGCATCAAATCTAAGTTGAGTTTTGGCGCTCGATCATCACTGTGGCAGTGACGGATCAAAAAAATTAATCAATGAAAGCATAATTTATATTTAAAATAAATATTAATATTTTTTAGAATAAATAATTTTAAATATCTATTAAATTTTATAAGTTAATAGAATTAAATATTAAAAAATGCATAAAATATAACATTATAATAACATAAAACACTCTCTTTATATAAATATTTTTTTATATCTATTAAATCATGATTTTAGTTTTCATTAAATAAAACTGATATACCTTTTTTGGTATAGTAGACAATTTTTCTAATAAAATTTTTTATAAGCAATTTTTTCCTAAATTTTTGCTTTTCCATTTTAAAACTATTACTATTTAAGTTTATAAAATACACATATATATAATTTTAGATAATAGGATAAGTAAACTTTTATAAGGACATGAGCATTTTTTTTTTTAAGTGAGGGGAGAAATTGAAAGTTTTTAAGGGGCGCAATTGAAATTGTTTAAAGTTATCTTAAGTAATATCTTTTTGGGCTGGTGGGGGCAATTGCCCCCTCTATGATAAATGTAGATGCGTCCCTGCACGGTGGTGAAATATCTTAGGTATCCAAAATTAATTTTAATGATTTAGATGTAAAATTTTTAACTTTGAATATATTAAAATAATAATTTAGTAAAAATATAAAAATTATATTTAATATAGACCTTTCAAATTAGTACTCATCACAAAAGTAATTAGCACCATCAAATCCTTTACCTAAATGGAAGTCCATAACCCAGAACTTGTCAGGTGCGTAAGTGTAGTAATATAATAATTTAAGAAAAATTAGTTATTTAATTTCTTTAATTTTAACTCCCTAGTTACAAAATTCTTGAAATTTAATTTGATATAACTCAATTCTTCAAATTTTAATGGGCAAGAGAGAAAATTAATTTTAATGGGCAAATTAGGTCAAGGAATGATAGGGACTCTAAACTCATTTTGATGTAATGTTTTCTTGCAAATTTTTAAAGCAATATAATCCCTATCATTAATAAAAATTGATTTTGACTATTAGTTAACCATAAAATAACACACAAGGATATTAAAAATTACAGAAAAATAGTAAAATACAATTACCTAAAAAATGACAAAAAAGGGCCAAGAAAATTTTATTGATCCTTTTTTATAATTTGTTATATCTATTTCTATCTTCTTCTTTTTTTTCAACTAATAGTTAAAGTTAATTTTTATTAATGAGAGTGCTAGATTGATCCATTTTCAACAATTAAAGGAGAATATTATACCAAAACTAAGTTTAAGATCCCAAACATTTCTAAACCTATACTTTAGAGGTGAGTTTGCTCTTTTATCTAATTTTAATCATTAATTCATTGATTCGAAAAATATAGGAGGGATCAATAAATTAAATGATTGAAACTTGAAAAGTTGAAACGAAAACTTGATAGTAAATATATTTAAAATTATTTGTAATATTAGTTGAAAATATATAAGAATTAGTTGTGAATCGCAATCCAATTACTTGTGATTTTTGCTTTCAGTATATAGATAAATCACTTGAAAAATCTACTAAATACATTTAGAATTATTTGCAACATGAGTTTTATGAAAGTTAATTGTGAATCGCAAGTCAATCACTTATAATTTTTTTTGCTATTACTTGAAAAATCAACAAAAAATAATTGAAAATCTTTGTAGCATTTGTTAGAAATTTACTAATATTTGTTGTGAATTTCTAGCTGAACAATAAAAGATAATTTATTGCAAGTAGAGACCATAACCTGTTATTAGTATTTCAATAATTTAGGGTACATAATTATTATTAATGTTCTTATGGGATCTCTAATTGTCATTTTCCCGAACGTTTTTGTAAAATATAATAAGGATTTTCAAATTGTAAATATGAGGCTTAAGTTGTAAATTTAAAAGGATAAATAAGCAAATAACCTCTTGAACTTTAGATCCAATAATATTATAGATCCTGAACTTATTTATTATGCAAATTATTCCTTTAACTTTTAAAAACAATACAATCTGAATCTAGCTTTTAATAAAAGTTAAATTTGATCATTGGTTGACTAGAAAAGGCAAAAAAGGACATCAAAAATTACAGAAAATGACTAAATTTTTTTAATCATTTTTTGGATTTTTTTTATAATTTTTGTGTTTTTTATTATAATTTTTTTGTATCAATTTAACTCCCTAATGATGATATCACTGGTAACAATATCACTTCTGTTATTATATCTTGATAGAGTATACTACTTAATTTCCTAAATGTAATTGTTGTCAATTCTTTTTCAAGCAAATCTTCTTCATTTCCTCATCTTAAATCTCTTTTATATTTCTTCTACTCTTATAACAGATATAAACATTTTTTAATCTGACTTATCAAATTACAATTGAATAAAAATTATGAAAATTAAATGATTATTTGAAAAGAAAACATAGAAAACACCCAGAAAAAAAAAAAAAAGAACACACAGAACAAACAGAAGTGGGGTAATTCATTGAGGCGGTTGAAAGCAGAAGATCCACAGAGCACCAGAGCCCAGATCTTTCTGCACACTTTCATTTTCATAGAGTAGCCCAAATAAGGAAAGGCTTTAATATATTGAACAAAATGATGAAGCACTATAGATAGATAAATAGAATTAGAACCACTCACTTGTGATATTGGTAGGCAATCACTAATTAATTGCAAGCCCGTCTGCCGTCTAGGCATCTACCTCTCAGGATTTGGTTCCCACTTGAAGCTTAACGTCACCCTCTCATCTGGGTTTCTTCTTTACTTGATTTTACTTCATCTACCTTCGTGATGTATTCATGATAATATTCTAACTTATAATTCAATTTTTTCTCTTTTAAAGTATCGAGTGGTGTATGATTTTCTACATTTCATATTTATAATGTACAATGCCCAATCTAGAAGTCACATGTGAGGGACCAGAACTGAAAATTTATCTAAAAGTAGGGGGTTAAAATTGATTTCAACATTTTTTAACAAATAAAAATCTCCATGTTTTATAAAGAATGCTTTTAAGTATGGGTTCCTAGATGCCCTTCTTAAATTCGCCACTGTATTATTGTAAACAAATTAATTCAAAAGATATTTTATTCATAAAACACATTTTTGGTTTGGTACAAAGTGAGCATAGAGCACCGTAAGCTTTTTTATCCCATTCCCCTGGTTCAAAGTTCAAACATTTAATTTTAAGTAAGAAAAAATTGAGTTTCTTTTACCAGTATAAAATAAAGTTTGTGTGTATATGACTATTTGATTAGATTATATTTAAGTATTGTTATCAAGTGGTAATTTTTAAAATGTGTTTTATGTATTTATATCAATTCGAATGCAAATTCTCATCTTAAACGGTCACAATCCTTTATACCAATAAAATAAAACTCCCACAATTGTAAGATAAAATTAAATAAACAATGAAAAAGAAAATGATAAAGATGGCGGGGACCCACCCAATCCATTGCCATCCGTATTTTATGTATAAGATAAATACTATTTATTAAATAAAAATCATAAATTCTATTTGGCGCTGTAAATGTATTCATTCTTAACATGATTAAATTTATTTATGAAAATAAAATAATTTAAGAAAATGGAAATTTGGGATGAAACAAACTAAAACACACATATGCACTTTAATTAATTTGGCATAACCAGACATCAACACATTAATGTTCTGAATGCGCAAAGGCAGATGATCAACACCACCAATTTATATGCCCTTAATTAATTAGGCTGGAAAAAAAATCCAGCTGCTTTACATGATAAATATTCAAGGGGTAAATACATATAATAATAAGATGTGAACTACAGACACATTTCATGGCCACCTCACCACCCTCTTCTTGAAGATGCCTGAACCATAAGTAGAAGAAATTATTTCAACAAGAAGGGGAAATTGTAACAGCACAAAAACTGTTATTGGAACACTAGCAAGTACAATAACAGGAAGAAAAGCCCATAAACGTGATGAGTTATGTTCCAACATGACGATTATTGTTGCCGAAAAGGCTATCAGCATAGTTGCAATGGAGAGAAAAAGTGAAGAAAGGCCTATGATCAGCTTTGTAGGCAAGGAGCAGAGGAAATCTTCTTCCGCATAACGTGACGTAAGGATTCCTAGAAATGTAAGCACAGAAGTAGTAGAAGCAAACAATGACAATGCATCTGAAATTAAAAAAACCTTGAATAACTTCTCCTTCAGAAATATTGGGTACCCAGAAGTTTGATCATTTCCTCCTGGAACAGTATAAGCTGCGGCAAACATAATGGTAACGATAAGAGCACCAACAACTGAGCAAGAAGATGCGGTATCTTTCATCCATTTCTCTCCTTCATTCCTGAGTTCTTTGTGGTTTTTTTTGAAATAGTCCAGAGGAGTCAGCCCTTCTTTATTTAGACGAAGCTCAATTCCGGGATTTACCAAACACTCTACCGCCTATATTTCAAAAAGAGAAAAACAATAAAAGTGCTGATGAAAAATTGTATCTTAAACTATTTGTTACATCTGGGCTAATGCAATCATTCCCTCATTTCCAGTTGAATTACATCTCACACAAAGAAAAGCATTTAATTTGATTAACTTCCAACCTTGAACCACTGCAATTCCCTTTGCATTTGCAAAGCAGCACCAGAAATGCGATTAAGTTGGGAAGCAGGAGCCAACATGGCTGCCATATGCAGCAAGTTATTGTTCTTTTCAGTTAACATTGCTGCGACCACATTCCTAAAGTGAAACCCACGGAAGAGGTTGAAAATCTCAGCTTGACGATATTCAACAGCATTGAAGAAAGCATGCCCCTTTTGTTGAAAAAAGGTAACCATTGAAGTTAATTCTGGGTTTGCTGTTGATACCTTAAACAAAAACTCAACATTTCCTAATTTAGCCGCCGTCAACAGTGCTGTTGCAATCTTTTGCTTTTTATCCTGATTCAAAGATGTTAGATTCTTACAGGCTAGGTTTAGAATTTCAGTTGCTTGTGCATGTTGCAACTTCAGCTTATGTATTTCCCTCATTCCTGGAAAATTGGTAACTCAAATATAAGTTAATGTTAGTCAAGTTTAATCATGAGAACTAAAATCTCAAGTAACTAATTTAAATTTTGGTGAATTTTTTGGCATACATACCAGACAAATTACAAGTGAGGGACATGAGCCAGCGTAGTAGAGTTAGTCCTATTGAGATGGAATCTTGTCAGCCCAATCATTCAAAAGGATTACACACACATGTATATGCATACGCAGGTCTATCTTTTTCTTGCATTCCATCACAGTTAGGTTCAACACTATGCCCAAATTGATTTTTATTTTCAAATTTTACATTTTGACATAACTGATTTTCATGTATGATAAATAAAATAGTTTTCTTCACATCTTTGAATATATATACGTGTGTGTGTTCTATTAGATTTGTAATATTATTTGATTTCGTCTTCCAATCAACTGTTAGAGAGTATTATATTATTGCACCTTTGGCTCTGTCACTCATCTCGCCTTCTTGTTGCATGTCTACACAGAAATGATTAGTGGCCGTGGTTGATGGTATTTTGATATCTTCCACCCACATATTGATCAAAGAAATGGAGAAACGTGAGCTTCTTCAAATAGTAAAAGTGATAAAATTAATAAATAAAAGGACAAGTAATGTGTGAAGCTGTTTAATTTTTCGAAGATTATTTTGCTTATTTCATCCTACTTAATTAAAACATACACTATGACAGATGCAAATAAGTTTACATGCTATGATTTCATGAAATATGCATCAAGGCTTGTTTGCGTTTGGCTTAGATAGAATAGCATACGGCGGAGGACATAAAAATGAAAAATAGTTGAGAGGAATCTTGGCTAATAATACTGGAGTGAATTGCTTATTAATGCTGGCGTTTGGCTAGTGTAAGTAGAGGACTTTCATGCTAGAGATAAAAGGTGAGATGGATATAATTATTTTGAAACTAGCATACTCAACCAAATATTGATGAATACGTTGATGTAATGAGACTTTGTCTAGAAACTTTAGGCAAAGATATTCTGCTGATTTTTTGTTTTAGCTTTGCTAGACTTTTGGTCTGTCATGGCAGCTTTCTTGTGATTTAAAAGCACTGATTGTAGACTAAATGATAAGTAAGCTGCAAGTTCAGGAGCAGAGAGCCACAATGAGTTCTGTGGGTCGAACTGAAGGAGCTTTTCAAGCAAGGCATAACTTCAAACCATATAGCTCAGGCAGCTGGGAATAGAAACTTTCCAGGAAAGCAAGAGAATGGAGAAAGCAAAGAGCTTGAGAAAGGAAAATCCATCTTGCAGTCGCTTTAATAACAAATCACCATGAAGACAAATGTTGGAAAAAGGCTCAGTGAAGGATTTGCAAGAAACATGGGCGGCATATTGATAGATTTTGCAGATTCAAAAGGCAAAAGAATCAACAACATTGACCACAGCATCAACAAAGGCAACTAGCCAATATTGTGGACAAAAATGTTATATTCTTATAACAACAACAACAACAAGCCTTTATCCCACTAAGTGGGGTCGGCTACATGGATTGCAAGACGTCATTGTGCTCTATCATTTATCAAGCTTTTAGGAATATTATTAATTAAGAGATCGCGTTCAACAACTTTCAAGAGTATTCTCTTAGACCTTCCTCTACCCCTCTTAATCGGATTCAAAATTATATATTCCACTCTTCTCACTGGTGCCTCCCTTGGTCTTCTTTGTACATGCCCAAACCATCTCAACCGATTTTCTACCATTTTTTCCTCAATAGGTGCTACCCTCACTTTTTCGCGTACGTGCTCATTTCGAATTTTATCTTTACGTGTATATCCACACATCCATCGTAACATTCTCATCTCTGCTACTCCAACTTTATGTTCTTGCTGTCCTGTTAGAGCCCAGCATTCACTACTATATAACATTGCCGGTCTGATAGCAGTGCGATAAAACTTTCCTTTAAGTTTATTAGGCACCTTACGGCCGCAAATAACTCCTTTAGCTTTTTATAACGTTGATGTCAATTAGTTATATAGCCGTTGGGGATCTGTATTGCTATAAATACCTTTAGACTTTTGTATTCATTATGTTTTATGAGAAAAGGCTGAGCATTATTCAGCTTATCTCTACTATCTCTAAATTCCTTCAATTCTTCTCTACCTCTTCTGTTCTTCTCTCTACCCTCTCAATTCTCCCTAAACCCCTCAGTTAGAATTATTATACCACTATAGTGGTATCAGAGCTAGCCAATCCTTGACCATTGGCTCTTCTTGATCTCTTCCCCCTCACCCTGATAGTTTATGGTGCAAACCAGAAACCAGAAAAAACAAGAGATGGATGATTGTGTTACAAGATTGAAAGAAAGATTTGAAAAGGTTGACACTTTAATAGAGATGGTTGAAGGCATCTCTAATCAGTTATAGTTACTCATGTGAGAAAGAGAAGAAGGTCCTCCCACTCATGACATAAGAGGACGACGTGATCTTAAGATAGAGGGTCATCGAGCTCGAGAACAAAGATATATGTACCAGAGATGAGCACCGATGCAAGACCTAATCTACAAAAATGGAGTTTCCTAAGTTTTCATGGTCTGACGTCATAGGGTGGCTTATGCGTTGTGAATGTTTTTCGAACTAAACAATACACCAGAAGATGAGAAGGTGCGAACGGCGAGTATATACCTGGACGAGAAGGCATGGTCTTGGCACACCGCGATAGAGCAAACATATGGTGGTTTCGAACCCACCTGGGAACAGTACGTCGAGTGGCTTCGAGAAAAATTAAGGCCTGCACATGAGAGACTCATAGGCGACTTGATGCCACTTTGCCAAAAGGGGTCATTGGCGGACTACAATGATGAGTTTGACTCCATTGCTTGCAAGCTCCACCTTTTCCAGGATTATCTCCTTGATGCTTACTTGGAAGGATTGATGGAGGAATACAGAGGACCCATACGTCTTTTTAAACCTAGGACTCTTTAGGAGGCTTGATCGCTAGCTCGCATGCAAGAAATCTCGATTCAACGCATGGCAGAAAAAAGATTGGTGGCAAGACTCCAACACACGCGTCTACTTCTAGGAATACTTCGTCACTGTTGAACCAGACCGTTTGGCCTTCTTATAAAAATGCCCTTCTAAGTAGTGGGGCCCAGCAAAAGGGAAAACCCTCTTCTCTTCCTAAAAATAATAGTTCTTTATCAAAAAGTGGCAGTAACACCTTTAAATCTTTGACTACAGAGGAAGAAGCTGAACATAGAAGCAAGAATTTGTGCTTCTATTGCCATGGAAAATTTTCTAAAGACCATAAATGCCCCCAAAGACAAAAGATGCAGCTCCACTTCATCAAAATTCAAGAAAACATAGATGAAGAAAAGTCAACTGAGGACTTAGAAAATAATGATACTCCAGAAGAGGAGTCACCCTTAATTTCGTTATATGCAATAGAAGGAATTGAAGGCACTTCATCAATGAGGGTTGTGGGTTACTATGGTAGAAAACAGCTTCAAATTCTCATTGATAGTGGAAGCACACATGATTTTTTTAGATCTGGAGTTAGCAAGAAAGTTAGGGTGGCAGCCTAGTAATACTCATAGTCATGGGTTGAGGTTGCTAGTGGTCAAAAATTAAAAGTACATGGAATGTGGAAGGGTTTCAAATGGCTCATGCAAAGCTTGGATTTTATCTTTGACTTCAGAATTCTGGAACTGCATTCATATGACATGGTTTTAGGGTTACATTGGTTGCAAAGCATAAAAAATGCTTTTTGGAACTATGAGACCCTCACTATGTTTTTCTGGTATGAAGGAAAGCTATGTAAATTCCAAGCTAACATTCCTAATCAGTTAAAGATAGTCCAGCCAAAGTATTTAGGGAGGAGAGACACTCGGGATAGTCAGGTTTATTTAATACAACCTGTTATAGAGTATCCAACAACTTTGCAATATTTTTCACTTCAAGCTCCTAAGGAAATTTCAACAGAAATTGCAACCACTTTGACAAATTTTTTTGACCTTTCTGAGGAGCCTAAGGGATTATCACCTTTTAAGGAAGGCCATAACCATCCAATTGTTCTACAGAAAGGCACCAATCCAATTAATTTGAAGCCTTACAGATATCCCACTGCACAGAAGGATGTAATTGAGAAATTAGCTAGGGATCTTCTTCAAACAAGGGTTGTCCAAAAAAGCTCTTCCCCTTTTTCAGCTCCTATTGTCTTGGTTAAAAAGAAAGATGGTACATGGAGGATGTGCATAGATTATAGGAAGCCGAATAAGAAGACTATAAAAAACTAGTATCCTATTCCTTTAGTTGAAGATTTATATGATAAATTGAGCACAACAAGGTGGTTTACAAAGCTGGATTTACGAGCTGGGTATCATCAAATCAAAATGATGCGGAAGATGTACATAAAACAACATTCAAAACTCATAGCAGACATTATGAATGGTTAGTTATGCCCTTTGACTTAACTAATGCCCCGATAACCTTTCAAGGAGCTATGGACAACATTTTAAGATAGTTTCTAAGGAGGTTTGTTCTGGTATTCTTTGAAGATATTTTGGTTTATAGTGCTAATATTAATGACCATGTGCAGCATTTAAGGCAAGTTTTCTCTATTTTAAGAGAAAACCATTATTTTGTCAAGAAAAGTAAATGCTCTTTCACTGCCAAAGAGGTGGAGTACTTGGAACATTTGATTGGAAATGGCTTAGTTAGAACTGATCCGAAGAAGTTACAAGCAGTAGCTGATTGGCCTAAACCAAAGAATGTTAAGCAATTGAGAGCATTCCTAGGTTTGATAGGGTACTACAGACGCTTCATTAAAGGATATGGGATTTTAACTAAGCCCTTAACCCTTCTCCTCAAGAAAAATGGGTTTGAATGGTCATAGGCAACTACTAAAGCATTTAATAAACTCAAAGTTGTTTTGATTTCTGCACCTGTTCTCACACTTCTAAATTTTTCAAACAATTTATAGTTGAGGCAGATGCTTGTGGAGTAGGATTGGGAGCCGTGTTAATGCAAGAGGGACAGCCGATTGCTTATTTTAGCAAGAGTTTGGCTGAGAGACATCAAAAACTCTCAATTTATGAGAAGGAATTAATGGTTGTGGTGCTGGCATTACTTCATTAACAGAAGCTAAAAACATCCTTTCAGATGTTTTGGATTGTTAAATTAGCTGGATTTACTTATGAAATTCAGTATAAAATGGGGCATGAAAATTCTATAGCTGCTGCTCTTTCTAGAATTCCTAAACAGCAATTAATGCATATTGTTTTAGACACTTCTTGCTTGAAATGCTTGATAAAGTCAAGGGGAGTTGGAAGAATGATGCTGTAATCATGGAAATTCAAAAGAAGGTTCAGGAAAGTAATGGGATTTAGGGCCATTTTTTTTGGGATGCTGATTTATTGAGAAGGAAGGGGAAGTTAGTAGTAGGAGAGGATCCTATTTTGAAACAAGAAATTCTTTAATGGCTGCATTCTAGTCCTCAAGGGGGGCATTCAGGAATTCAAGCCACATACCATAGCAGTTTGAGTTGGAATGGAATCCTTTTATAAGCCT